CCTTCCTTTATGCACTTAACATTTGATTATATGTATTTTCCCCATTCTTAAAAATTATTTATAATCACCACTTTTACTGCTGAACAGCATTTAGTTTTATGCACAAACTTTTAGACTTAGCTATCCCCTTACTATCAGACTATTTTTAGTGTAACAAATAATAGATGAGCATATTTGCACATGTATCTGCAAGTTTTATCATTTTCTCAGGATCAACTTTTAGATAAGGAATTGCATGCCTAAAAAGTATGAGCAATTTCAAAGCAACTGGCATATATTTGCAAGTAGCTCTCCAGAAGGGTTGTTCCAATGTAAATTCTACCAGGAGGAAGGTACCAGTAAGTGTGTTTATCTCACCCCCGCAACCCTCACTCCCTCAGAGTTTTCAAAAAAATTACCTTCATTAACATGTAAGGTAGGTACTGATTGTTCCTCCCGGGTCCATTTGGATCTGGAAAAATAGGTGCAAGGGACTGCATCTCACCTGAATTAACTGTGGGCTCAGGTCTCCTGAGAAGACATTAGTAGAAAAAAATCATTCAAATATTGGAGAAAAAATGCAATTGTGGCAGAGGCAAAATGAATGCTTTTTCTGAGCTTTCAAAAAATTTTAAATGTATGGCTTATCCAAATATGACCTTCTCCCACGCAAAAACTGGTCACAATATTATACTCATTTTCAACCTAATGCTTCTAATTCTGTGCTTTGAAACTCATTTTCACATGTATGAAGTTGGTGGTGGTGGAGAAAGTAAATTAGTTTCTCAGACGGTTTCATCAAGACTTATTAGAGAAGTGGAGCGGCAACAAACCAAGCCAAGGATCCAGCTTGTGGGGTTATTTTTCCACTGCAATCAATAGTGTTTGGTCTGCTTAATGTCACATGTGTTGCAGACCCTCAGCGTTCCTCTTCTAAGAGGTGTATCTTTTGAGAGCCATTTAACTTTAAAGAAAGAGAAAGTTAAAACTTTTTGTTCAAAATTCAATTTGATGTTGCAGAAATATACTTCTCATGGTTATATTAAAGTGCTTCCACCTGACAGAATTCCTCCCCTGTGATGGCTATAACTGCAAATAAGTTTGTTAACAGAATCCATGGGGAGTGTTACCGACTCAATACCGAGCCATTCCAGACCTGTGTGGGCCCCAGAGCTGAGAATGAGACAAATACTTGGGGGAAAGTGAAAAGGATTCTGAACACAAGCCACAAAGCCAGAAATACATCACGCTCGTTTTTATTCAGAAATTTTTGACTGACTTTGTTAAACTAAATTCTGCCTCAAATTGGTGGATGCAGTTGCATTTTTAGAAACAGTCCTGAGCAGATAGCAGAATACATTATTCTAATTCTTGGTCCAATGTCTTGGGCAACTTCATGTCCCCTCCTTGAATCAGTCGACATCTATCCCTTCCACTTCCCCACCTGACACATACTTGTGTGTAGCACCTGCTCATGGCCTAGCACTAAGCACCGTTTCACTAAAACTGGGTGATTGGTGGGCCAGTTTTCCTAATCTTTAAAGCATTATATGACTTTTCTAGTTTTCCAAGCTTTCTTGTCTTAGTCCACATTTTCTCAAGTCTCATGAACGATAGACTCCAATTAGAATGGAAGAAAGCTCATTCAGGTCATTTTTCTTTAGTGTTGATGAAATATACAAAAAGGCCTGAGTCAGCACTTCCCTGTTTGTTTACTTGTTTGTTTGGTTTTTAATTTCCATTTTCTTAATTTCATTTCTGATAAAAGATGATGATAACATTTCAGTTCTAATTTGCTGTCAATTCTCTTATAAAAAAAAAGTAGGAAAGAAATTATTCTCAGCAAAGGAAGACTTTAGTCTCTTGGAATCAAGAGCTTAAAAGTATTAAATGCACTTTGGATCTTTAGTAGTTCTTTGAAACCAAAATTGTATTTCAGCAAAACTAGTCAATTAAAATTTGTCCATTAGTTATCAAATATTTATTTCTGAACCATAATATTAAACTCACAGGAACAAAAATACACAAATGGCTCAGAAAAAAATTGGTCTCTCTTGGGGAAGAAAAAAATGTTTTCTTTGAAGCAAAGAATCTGTTATTCTGTGTAGCTTTCAGAAGGGATGTCGCACATTTTCTTATTGATTTTACTTCCTATTTGGTAGCAAAATAATGGGAGAAGAGGCAGTGAACATTCCTGGCAACAAACTGAGATGTTAAAAAATATGCATCAGGACATTTTCCCAACTCCCTCTTTTTCCTAGAGATTTAATGGCAGGAGAGCTCTCTGTGCCCTACATCAGGGACACAGCCACCTGGGTGCACTTTAGGAGGAAGTTTTCTGGTGACCCATTATTCATAAACACAGGCCAGTTGGATTCCAGGTGTGTACAGAATTCCCCAGCAGTACCACTGCCCAGTTAGGTGGCTCCAGCCAGTGGTTCCCAGGAATCACCATCAAAGCACAAGGAGGCCACAGGCAGAAGCCACACTGCCATTGGCCCTTGTTTGCACAAAGAGATTAGGAAATGGGTCACTTCATTCTTGTGAAGGTTGGTGGAATAGAGGAGGGATTTTGAAGAAGTACAGCATGGTTAAATTGACCTGAAATGATTTTGAATGTCCGTGTTCTTCAGGCAACATCAGGAACACAGAGAAACTGAGCTATGACAAGCAACACCAGTATGAGATCCTGGTCACCGCCTACGACTGTGGACAGAAGCCTGCTGCTCAGGACACCCTGGTGCAGGTGGATGTGAAGCCAGTTTGCAAGCCTGGCTGGCAAGGTGGGCCTGGTTTTATCAGTCTTGTTGTGTAAAGGCAGCTTGGCCTGGTCTGTAGAAAGTGCTGGACTTGTCCTCAAATCATTGCAAAATGTAACTGGAGGAATTTTTAAAGTGCCATCACTTTGCTGCAAGAAACAGAGTAGCTTGTGTATTTTCCCAACTCTTATGTGATGTATTATCCCCATTTTACAGCTAAAAATGGCAGAGGCATCTCGTCTAATGTCATGTGCACAGTTTGTCCAGAGCCCCCTTTTTCAAATCTCATGACATCTTTGAATCAATAGTAATTATCTCACAGCACTTAGGGAGAAATTGCCAGCAAGCCTATTCACTTCATCCAAGGGTGCTGAGTCTAGCTGATGGATTTTCAAGTTTTGCATCACTGCTCAACACCTGGGGAAGGTCGTCATGTTCCTTGTGTTCACATAGAGCACATGCAGGTAGAGATGGAAGAGCCAGAATCCAGCCTCTGGATTAGAGGTTTCTAAAATGTTGAATCTGAAAACGAAGAAACAATAGCTTTGGATGGAGTGGGTTTTTGTGTCAGCTTAGAGATCTTTTAGGATGCAAAGACAGCAAATGTTCAGGTCACCTTTACATGATGGGGTTTGTCCCTGAGCTTAGAGAAACTAAGGAAGGCAAGGACTGCTGCCGAGATGGGTCTTACAGAGAACTGAGTGATTTATGGAATAATAGCTCTAGTGGTGATGCCAATAGGCCTGGTGGCCAAGCAGAGACCTAGAGTTATCTCTAGGTCACCATTTCAGTTGCCGAACTACTCCCTGTCTCTACTCCATGGGTTGAAGATGTTGCAGGCTACTGTTAACTCATAGCCCGTGGTGCTTCGTGGGGTCACCCCCTTTGTGCCTTCAGCTTACTGCTTTCTTTTGGTGTGTCTTTAATCTTGTGGGTCCCTGTTATATTCTCTCTCTCTCTCTCTTACTCATATATTTTATTCTTAAATTCCCCTGGAGAGTCTGTGTTAGTCACTCACATCCCTATTGGGCAGACTGATGCCAGGCTGCCCTGTAGATCCCTGGCCAGACCTTGAATAGGTGCCTCCTTTTAGTCAGGCATTCATTCCTAATCCAACTCATCAGGCTCAGCTTGGCAGGACCTCGTGGTACAGAGTAAGGACACCTGTGCCTGAGGAGCTACCTGGGATCACTCCCTTCAGAAGGCAGCCCCCAAAGCACTCCTCCCCTGTACAACCTGGTCTCTCTTAAACTTGAACCTTGAAAGATGGGAAAATGTAATTTAATCCACCTCTGGAGAGAGCCAGAGTTGTTTGCCTTTGAACAAAGTAGGAAAGATGAAATGCTCAGTGGAGGAGCCACAGGTAAGACATATGAGAGGTGAAGAACAAAGTGGAGTCATCTTCGTGTCAGTCCATTTAGAAACAAGCGAGAGACATAGGAAGAGGGAAAAGCCAGAGTGGGAAACTAGGTTTTCCCAACTTCAGGGAGCCTGAGGTCTGGTTGGGTATAATTCACTAGACCTAAGGACCTGAGGGCAGGATTCTGTCTTGTTCACCACTGAATTTCTCAGGTTTAGCACAGTGTCGGGTCTCAGCAGTAGGTGCTCAAGAAATAAAAATTGAATGAATGAAAATCTGAGTAAAGAAGAAATCACCTTGTTTTATTTTTAACTAATAAGGATTATCCCCAATGAAGATGTGGCCTTGGAAGAGAAAAGCTGGAAAGGACATATAAGCTTTCTAAGCATGAAATATGCTCACAATGATATTTTAAGTGGAAAAAGCAAAATACAAAGCCATATCTGAAAAATACTCCCCATGTTCTTTTTGTCTTTGACAAATGAGGCACCTACAGATTTGTGATTACATTTTTATTCCTATATTTAAATGTAATTTTCCAACAGAATTTGTACTTGTTAAATGTATGCAATGAAAAACTCGGTCATGATGTTTAATTCTGCGTGTGAAGAATCTGTTGAGCACCTACCCTATAGTGCACAATGCTATTTGCAGCTCCAGACAGCGAGCTCCTGTGGGGTGAGGACAGTGCTCATTTGCTGTTATGTCTGCAGTGTCCAGCGCAGGGCCAGGCATGATGCAGGCACTCGGCAAGTGTTAAGTACATGAAGGAATCGTCAGCAAGACCTTGGTGAAAAATGTAGCATTCTGTAGAACAAAGAAAAGAGGGAAGAGGCAATTCCTTGCACTAGTTCTTCATGTCAGGCAAGGTGATTTAAACATGTGTAATACCAGAATCGACTACTTCGTGGTGGCTTTGCTGCCTCAGCTGGCCAGCCTGCTGTGGCAGAAGCTGACACAGGGCTTTGCATCGTAACTCTCCTCCCTCCAGCTTGCCCACTGTAGACAGCCCTTAAGTCCTCTTCCAGTCATTGCCCCGTTGGTGGGCTTTCAGATGACAGGCAGCCCTCCAGGCTCTGATATGTGTGGCAATGGTCACAGTGCCTTCCTGAAATTCCTGTCCTGGACCCCAGAGTTGGAGAGGGACCTTCTCTCTCCTCCTTCCAGCATACCAGTCCACTTCATTCCTCCACCTGGAAACCCTCAACTCTGACCCTCCCATCTCAGAACCTGTTCTGTCTTCTATCCCCGGTCAGGGCTGCAGCCTCTTAGCTGAGGTGCACCTTTCTCCAGGGAAGAACTGATCGCAACTGGTCCAGATGTGTGTCCTTTGTCCAGCCCCTTCTCTCAGCTCTGTGCAGCAAACTGGAGTGAACCGTGGTTTCCTGAATTCTTTGCTAACTGCAGATGGCGCGGTCTGCCCCTAACTGTGAGAGGTCATTAGATGCCCTGGGGGAAAAGCTTGGCCTTTCTTGGAACCAGTGTGGGGTGAATCCTGCCCTTTGTAGATGGGACAGGTGCACAGAGAGGGGAGGCCGTTCAAGGTGCCAGTGAACAATGTGAGGAAAGCAGTGTGACTCACAGAGAGGGCTGTGACAGGTGCACTGAGGTTTCGATGCCGGGGTGAGGAGCCACAGTGAGCCCCAGGCCCCTCAGGCCAGCTGAGAGGGGGCTGTGTGCCTTTGCCAGACATGATTCCCTGTAATTCCCCCGGAGAACAGAGGCCCCTCCCAAACTGACTGCTCACAAACAACTTGAGTCACCAAGCAAACGAAGTTTGGCAGTTTGAATTCTTGCACCTGTTCTAAGTCATTTCCCTTCCGGCAGGAGGGATGGCGGCACAGTGGATGCAATCCATCACAGTGAGGGCGCCCGCCTCCCCGCGCTCCCAATCAGCACGTCGCCCAGCCCTGCTGCAGCCAGCTTCTCCGGGGAGCTGCCTCAGAGCAAGGGACCCTGCTCACAGCTAGAGCCTCCCCCTCCTTCCCAGAGCCCGTGAGGGACCTGCTCCCAGACTCCAGTGATGCCCTAGGGCAGTGGCCCCCGTTTTCCATCACAATAATCCCTTCCACGTGCAGGACCTGAGGCTTTCCCCAGTGTGCTGCTGGCCCTGCCCAGCTGTGCACAGAAGGACATCCCAGGCTCTAGCTCTGCTGCCACCTGCCTTTCAGACCTGACCAAAGCATTGTCTGCTAGGGCTATGGTTTCTAATTTCTGTCTTCTTTCTCTGGGTGTGTCTTGTCTTCTCAGAAAGGATATGGGTTCCCTGAGGGCAGAACCACATTCCTCGAGGCCCCTGGCACTGAATTTCCCATCCACCACCTAAGCGTGGACTAAAAGCTTGCTGGCATCACTCGCCAGTGGGTGGAGTGGGGACTCTCAGTGCTCAGCTGGCAGCAAGGGCAGGCAGAGGGCTGTGCATCCAGAAAACAACCCCAGGGGCCATTGCTCTTGCAGGAGCTTTGTTTCTTGGCTGTATTCTGAGGTGGTAATTCTGAAGAGGTGGCAAGGACCAGCTCACTCTGCAGGGGTAGGTGGAACTTTGCTGAAGGAAACACTCCCATTCTCAGCTGGCCAGGGAAGAAGAGGACTCAAAGCATGACCCAGGCCTGTGTGAGTAGAAGGGAAGACTCCATCTCTTTGTTTTATCCTGAGCTTTGAGAACTCATGGTGTGATTAGAGGTACCTCTAGTTCGCAGAGATGAAAGATTATATTAGGAACCGGGAAAGAGGTTCCTTTAGCAGCGGGCTGCGTGCTAAAGACAGGCCTGTGTCCTGCCTCTCAGGCCAGCTGTCTGGGTTTGTAGTCTTCCTAGTGTTTGCATCCCTCTTACAATTGTTTGAAACCAGCCAAGCCTGGGCTTGTGTGTGCTGTGAGGACTTGGAGAAGGATCTCCGTCCCCTCATGGAGCAGAGCACTGCAGGGGACGTGGGGCCCTTGGAGGCTGTCGGGGCGATGGTGGCCGTAGTGTTGGAGCTGACCCACATGTGTCTGCTGGCTCTCTGCACAGGGGCGCTAACCTGTTCCTTAAAGGATTGTTTGTAATTCAGTTGCTAGTTTGGGTTTTTGTTGTTTGTTTAGTTTTTATTTGATTTTATGTTATGCTATTTGGAGGGACGCAGCCCTTATTTATACTTCTCTTTATTGTTGTTTTAATCCCTGGCCCATCTCTTTCTGCATTTCAACTGGAAACATTGTCTCCCACAACACTTAACATGGTAGCTTTTCCCTTTTGTTGCTGCAAGTCAAATTTTGTATTCATTACCTGTTCCTGCCAGTCCAAGTTCAGTATTTCACTGTTCCTTTATGCAAAACAATTTCCCTTTGAAGAGAGCCACTGGAGACTTTCTGGCGGCCTTTCACCATTTCTTCCCATACGTGTTGCTGACCGGACAACCTGCCATTCTGGCTCGGAGGCTCCTGGGTGAGAGCGTCTGCGCTCCAGCCCCTAGGAGCCCATCTCCGCCCCCTCGCCCCAGCCCGGCGCATGCGCCCACGCAGCAGAGGACACCTTGCTCAGTGGCAAGCCACTCGGACTCTCACCAGCCGTTAGAAGTTTTTCCCATGGGCCAACCAACTCCTGTTCCTTTTACCTTCACAGTAAAGTGTCCTATTCAAAATAAAAAGAAAGGGAGGTGCAGCCACATAATTGAACAATCTCCT